AGGAATGTTCGACTAGGCCTGAGGCGTCGAGTAGGCCTCGACACACCTTAGCCGGAGTCGTCTGTAATCCGTGGGAATTGTGAAGAGTATACAGTTCAATGCTCTCTGCCTCTTGAAGCGAAGGGATTTGAATGTCGGGTTCATCGGTGAATTGGGTCAATTCTTTCACCTTATCAAAAGATTCAGTGGAATGGGACGTTGGTGAAAACTTTTCCTGAAGAAGTGAGGACATCAAACTGGCAAGGGAAAAGCCATTGGCGACCAGGCGCTCAGTAAGCAAGTCTAGGAGGCTGGTTTTTCCTAATTCAACACCCGACTTCAAACCAACTGACTGCAAAAATGTGCATGTATTTGCGAGGTCAGAATCCTCTGAATTACTAGTCGACAAAGTTCCACTGCGCAGCTCGTCTACCTCTGCTTCCATCTGTCCAAACGACTTTGGTCCCAGACCTTCTTCTATAATACGTGATGTCAAGACGAGCTGATTCGGGGGCCTACTGTTAAAAATCACAAATTAATTTTGTAATAAATTTAACCAAATGGACTAAGTTTAATAGAATAAAAATGCTTATTTAAAAGTATACCTGATTTCCGTTTGAGCTCTATGATCCAAATTCGAATTCAGTTTGTTCAAAAGATCAGGACGAGAGCGTCCAATAAGTATATCTGCAGTTCGAAAAAAAATCAAAAGCATTTTAAAAGGGGCTGGATAACAAAGGGCAAATATAAAATAAAATTAGGAGTAAATACAAAAATATACCAACACATAAAGGACCAGGTAGATAAATGATGAATCCTGTTAGGTTGTAGTCGAACAAAAAGTTTTGAGGAATCAAGATTAAAGAATCATACGCAAATTAAAGGTACGAAGACCAAGTTGGTGTGGCATTTAGTGTGGTCGCCGTCTCCTTTCGTTGTATAGAGGTTGTTTGACCTTGTTTCACAACATCGTCATATTAGTAGGAAGCCTTAGAGAAACGCACCTAGTCTGAAGTCCATTGTCTGTATGATCATTTCCAAAGTTTAACCGTGGACGTGGTACATTACGAAACGTTTCGCTGGCATCGTCAATGAGTATAGTCATTCTTAGCACCATACAACAACTCGTCAAAGAGACAAGTGAAGCAGATCCTTTGACCAAACGTGTGCTAAACACTTGTGGTATCTCCCCTTCTGCCCTGGCCTATTCACGTGGACGTGGTAAATTCCCAAAAGAGATTTTCTCTGACGAGTTGTTGTATGGTGTTAAGAATGGCGATATTCACTGACGATGCCGACTACGATGCCGGCAAAACGTTTTGGAATGTACCACGTCCAGGGTTTAACTTTGGAAATGATCATGCAGACAATGGACTCCGGACTAGGTGAGTTCCTCTAAGTCTTCCTACCAATATGACCATGCTGCGAAAACAAAATCAAATAAAATTCATACGCTAATTAATTTACATTAAAAAATTCGTTATTTAGCTGAGCTATAAAAGTAAGCCTATGCTTTCAGTTAGACAGATTATCCGAGTATTCTTAAGTAAGTGCTGTAGTAAAGCTTAGTCAAGGATTTTGCAATAGTAGAGTAGTTATGTCAGATAAAAAGCGAAGGCTCTGTCCGATTGCAACAAATAAACGTGGCCTAGCTAGTTAGGCAGTGATATAAACTATAAAAAACTCAAAAAAATGACCATCGAGCTAAAGAACATATGCGTTAGGTTTAAGATGACGCCAGCCATTAATTCTCATCAGTGATATTTTCAAGAGAGGAAAATATAGAATTCAAAACGTAATAATTGTCACCTGGATAATATAGTTTTTGTCTCTGTTACCAAAACTGCGGCGCGGCGGAGATTTAAAAATGAAGTAACCAGCATTTTCTTAGCCCATTCTTGCTAGTTCAACTTGCATTTTTTCCCTATGTATCCTCCTATCCCAGATAATCTAGATTCATTTGACCATCTAAATTGTGTTCATCAACACAGCTATACACACTAAAGATCTTTAGCACATTAAATAGAGATATTCTTAAGATGAAAAGAGATTTAAATGGATTATGGTTTCCATTCCTCTTGAAGCTTTAAGCTATATCTAGTTGTCATGTGTGTCACGACTGGTTAAACGCCTACTGGTAACTTTTTCACAATGATCAATGATTTTCAGTACATTTTTTTCCCGCGTGCTTAGCCTTACCTTTGATGAAGACATGGACCTCAGATTAACTTGTCTGCACTCGGTCCTCTAAGTAAGTAGAAGTT